GGGGGGGAAAAAGAGAGGACACTGGGGGAAAAAAAAGAGAGGACACTGGGAAATCAAGAGGGAGCAAAGTTGACTTTAGGATCCTGCTGACAACAGCTGTGTCCTGAGAGGTGGGGCTTGAGATAATATCGGGCAAAGCAAAAATGTAGGAAATGGGGAAGCAAATGCAACTGAGCCCAAGGGAGAGGAGAGAGACCACAGTCAGACTCTGGGGAAGGAGGACACTCAATCAGGACTGATGAAGTGAAGGCCTAGGTAGGGCAAGAGTAGGGAGAGCATAGGAGCTGAGTAGGAGAAGGAAAGTGAAGAGGGCATAGGAAGACGAGGCTCATTGTATACTAATGAAGGAATATTTTTTTTAAAATAACAATAAAATCTGATCATTTCATAATTTGAAAAACAAAAGAAGGGTTGGTTTTCTGGATTTATTTCAAGGAGGAAGATTTAGGAGAGTAGTGACTATTTGTCAGATGACTTGTATCTTAATTGGTATCTTTTATATATGTCAAGGAAGGGAAAAGGAAAAGCAGAGACTTGTCACCCTGAAAACTTGTCCAGGTGTTATCTCATTGTGAAAAAAAAAACCTGCAAGAAGACTTTTCTGAGAAGAAGTGATGCCTGCACTTCCAGACGTGAGCATAGATCCTGCAGGTTGTTTGTTCCAGGTCAAGAGCAGCACCCACCACTTCTCCCCCCACCACCACCACCTTTGTTGTCCCCCACACCCACTCACCTGGCCATAGTTCTGCAAGACCCCTCCTCAACGTCATTCTTCCCATCTCTGCCCTGCTTGTTATCTGAGTCTGCCCACACGTCCCTCTTACCTGTACTTGTATTCCCCTGAGCACAGAGCAGAGAGGCCCCGAGAAGACAGAGAAAGCCAAGGAACCCATAGAGCTTCATGGGAATGGAAGGCAGGATCGGTCCCACCAGCAACCGGAGCAGCAGCAGCAGCAGCGATACTGCCGCATATATGAGAGCAGCCCCAGTGTGGAAAGTCTTAATATTTCCTCTGATGGGTGTGGAGCACTAACATACCTTCACCTTTGCACCACCCCTCTTCATCCCTCTTCTACCTTTCCTCTTAACTTAAGCTGTGGTTCAGAAAGACAGTGAGAAACAAAGATAAGATAAGTCCCAGAGATGTCAAAAGGAAGAAGTGCTGGTTGCCCAACCCCCTAGCCTGCTGGTCCACTGGGAATAGCTCCCAGGCTGCCCTTTCCCTTCCCTAAGAACTAGCAACACACTTGGCCTTGAACCCTGGAATCTAGGTGGTGTTTTCACAGCCTCTCTTTAGTCTTATTCCTGACTGGTGCTTGCCTCTGACTCCATGATGCAGCAAACGTAGACTCCTCAATAAATGCTGGAAGTACCCACTCCACCAGCAAACACTCGGCTTTCTTGCTCTGTGGACTGAGAGCCCACAGCTCTGATGCACTTACTCCCCTGCACATCTGTGTGCATGTTTGTCTAAGTTCCCCCTGCTGTTTGCTTGTCCAAAGCTCCACAATGGACTGAAGTTCTAGAGAAAGGGCCAGATCAGAAAAGAAATAAAACTACAGGTGCTACTGGAGGAGGTCTTTGAACTTTCCCTAGGGATTCCAGGCAAAGGGAAAGGGAGGGGTTTACAAGACAGCATGACAGTGTTCAATGTGCAGTGTGTCCCCTGATAAATGATGACTCTCGCTGCTTCTTTTATTGGAGTGCTGGGTCACTGACCATGCCCCCACAGAAACAAAGGATAGTGAGTGATTGGGCCATGCCTTTTTAACAGGGCAGGAAAAATAGAAGTAGCTGGATAACATAGACAATGGTCTAGGGAAGCCAAAATTCTAGGCAAGTCCTACTATACCAAAGGTCACCCCCTGGCTTTTCTAGCCATTGTCCTCTATATCTGAAGGAATAACTTTCTGCTTATAATCATCTACATTCATGAAAGTGTGTAAGCCAGTTACTTCACTCTTTATACCTTAATCCCCCATTTTAGATAGCCAATTTCTAATTTCCCCACTCCTATCCACAGTCAACACTCTTGATACCAGCAGCCAGGAAATCAAGAGACGAATTGCATTGGGAAAGTCAGCTGTCAGGGACCTCTCCAGAGTACTGAAGAGCAGCAATGTCAGGCTGGAGACCAAGTTGCACCTGATCCGGGCCATAGTCTTCCCAATTGTGTGCTATGCATTGGAGAGCTGGACAGTGACTAGGGATGATAAAAAGAGAATTGATGCCTTTGAGCTTTGGTGCTGGAGAAGAGTGTTGAATATACCATAGACTGCTAGGGGAACAAACTGGTTTGTCCTGGAGGGGGTGCAGCCAGAGTACTCTTTGGAGGCAAGAATGATGAGGCTTCACCTCACATACTTTGATCATGTTGCTAGAAGGGGCTATTCCTTGGAGAGTGACATGATTCTAGGAAGGATGGAGGGTCAGTGAAGGAGAGGAAGACCCTCAATCAGGTGGGTTGATATAGTAACTGCCACAATGGGCTCTGTATGTTGTCAAGTATGAGGATGGCACAGAACAGAGCTGGGTTCAGCTCTTTTGTTCATAGAGTCGCTATGAGTTAGACTCGGTTCAACGACACCTAACAACAACAAAAATTAAACCAGTATTCTGAGGAAACAAGCATGTCTTTCTCTGAAAAATCTTCCATTATGGTGGAAACTTTAAGGATCTGTGAAAGTCTGCTGTTAGGGACCTCTCTAAAGTACTCAAGAGCAACGGTGTCTCTCTGGAGACTAAGCTGCGCCTGATACAGGCCATGGTCTTCAAGTGGGCTATTGGGGTTACTTTGAGAGCCTGTAGGTGCAAAAGGGACACAGCCTGTGGTTGTGTGATGGAAAGAAAAGTACCTGAGACTTTTGGACTGAAATCCTGCTATTCCAGCTTTTTCAGCAGGAAATTGGTCTCTAATAGGTTACACCTGCCAACAGGATGGTCTTTCGACCTTAGCTTCCTCTGTGAAGGAGGTCTATGGGGCTTCCTTCCTTGACTTGGGGAGAGATGCAGGTGTGCTGAGAAAGCCTCCATAGCTAGAAACGGCATAAGCCCAGCCTTTTGGCAATTCCCTACCCCCCCCCCCAGAAGGGGAAGGAAAGAAACACAAGGGAGGCCAACTACCTTTTGACACCAGAGACCAATACAGAGTAGACGGCAGTAATGCACCATAGCAGTACTGGGTGCCCAGAGGCAACAAGCCAGTGGCAGGATACATATGGCCAGCATCTCCTGGGGAGCAGGTCCTGACCATAGGATATTCACTTGTTAAAAGGGATCAAGAAGTGAGAGCCTCCCAAGGACTAGCTCTTGGGGGTGGACAGCTCTTGGGCGAAGATGAGAATATGGGTACAGTAGTGGCATAGGAATGACCAAAGAGACTTGGCCAAAAAGGAGCTGGTTGAGTCTCCTCCCCTCTGACCACTCTAGCATTATCTGTCCTCAGCCAGGGTCTCCTCAGCAAAACCATAGTGACACAGAAGGGGCAGGGCCAGACAGAGAACAGGAAGCCAGGTGTTTGCCAAGAGGCTGTGACCAGGGAGGGAGGAGACCTTGGCAGGGACAGCCAGCAGCAGGCAGAACAGGGAACCTAAGTTGTGCCTCCAAAAAAAAAGACTGTTCTTCAGTCTTCCTCCCCATCACTCATCTGAAGTTCATGTTCCTAATCTCGAGTCGTTCCGCACCCCACCCCCAGGACTCTAACCCTCAGCCTTCTTTCTCCTGAGTGGAGTTCCCACCCACACCAGAGACTTTATGGTCCTGAGTCTCCTCTGCTTAGGACTATGGATCCAGGAGCCTCTCCTAGCCCCCACCCAAAGAACTTGTCAACCAAGGGGAGGAATTATTTTAACCATCCTCAGTCCTGATCTAGTGTCTAGAGGGTCTGAGAGATGATGAAGACGGCACAGGATAGGGCGGGTTTCGCAACAGGGTCGCTATGAGTTGTACTTGATGGCAAGTTGTACTTGACACCTAACAAGAACAGTCCTGACCAGGCTTGACTGCTGCAGTGAAGGCAGAGACAGACCAGTATGTCTGAGTGTGTATTTCAGACCAAGCTGAGAGAGGCTGAGGGTCTTTGGAGGCCAGCTTCATCCGTTCATGTGACTGGCAGTTGTCTAAGGCAGACTCACCTCCAAAAGGCCCACTGAAAAAGGGTACAAGTGACAAACCCCACCCGAACCACAGTGCTAACAAAACAGAGCCCCCTTCATGTCCACTGTGAGGAGCTGCGACTTCCTTCCTCCTGGGCAGAAATGGCAGCCCCTACACGTGCTCGTGGTCTTCCCTTATACCAGGTGGAGACTGGGAGCGGGATAACACACGGCAACAAAAGAACAGCATGCAGCAATTTATTTTTACAATAAATACTATATTGCATTTACAACAGAAAACTGAAGATTGGCCAAGTTCCTGTCCCCAAACCAGATCTTCTTGGCAAAAGAGGTTATGGACTTTGGAATTCAAGAGTTGCTTGCAGGAACGGGGGTGGGGGGGGTGTGTCACGGTGTCATCAGGGAGAGGGAAGGAAAGGGAGTGGAGTGGGGCAGGGAACGAAGAGGTGGGTCAGTAAGGGATGGGGGGGAGCACCAGGGGAAGGGGAAAAGAAGGAGCTGAGGACATTGCCCTATCTCAAGGCCCACTTCCTATCATACAAGGAGACTCTGGGGAAACCCATCCACCCACCCCCAACCTGGGGTCAAGGGCCCTCACCTAAGTGAGAGACCTTGGGAGTCAAGGGAAGGGATGGATCTGCATAAGGAGGGTATCAGGGCCTGAGGAGTGGCAGCTAGGGGACTCTAAAAAAGCAGAATGTAGCCATTCCTATCTAGGAAGGAGGAGAGGGTAGAGGGGTTGGGAGTGGGAATTAGGGAGGAAATAGGTCTAGGACATTGGGATGAGAAAGGAAGGATTTAGGGCTGGGGGGACAAGGATGAGGAAAGGGGAAATGACACTGATGATGTGGGACTGGGGTTGAAGGGTTAAGGAATGGGTCTGGAGGGGGAGGAGATATTAAAAAAGGAAGCAAGGGACACAGCAAGGAGTTATATGAGGAGAAGGTACCAGGTTGGGCTGGAACTGCAGGCAGCTGGAGGTTGGCAATGAGGAACAGGCAAAGGGGAAGCAAGGGGGGAAATAGTGACCAGGACCTGAGAGGAGGAGAAGGATGTGATATGAGGGCTCACTGTGAGCTCAAGAACAGACAGGAGGCTGCAGTGCGGCAGAGAACTGACTCGGTCCATCTTCTGATTTTCCCAGTAACTGCAGAAAATACCCAGACAAGTGTGTTTTACAGGCAATTAACCTAAGGTTCAGAGAAATTAACTGATTTCTCCAAAGTCTCACAGTGCAAGAGTCTGATTTTGAACTGGATCTCCCAGTGGGTTTCAGCCAACTTGGGAGGAAGAGGTCCAAAAGACAGCCTGACTTTGCCCGTGGACATCAGGACCCTTGGCTGCACAAAGCCTTGGACATCTTTTGAGATGGACGCTGGCTTGAGGCAGGATGTAGGGATGATGAAGGCTCATGTCCAGGAGGTGGCCACCTCGGGCCTTTGGATCTGCACCTGCCAGAGAGAAACAGGAATGAGAGCAGGTGACCAGACTGCTCGTGCTTATGGCCAGTCACTGCCTCTGGGTCCCAACCCTACTCCTGGGGGTGGTGAGGGGGGAGGGCATTTCAAACCAGAACAGAGAGAGTGGGAGAGTTTAGCATCCTTGCCCCTTTGTCCCCTCACTTTAGTATTGGTGTCCATGTTCTCCAAAGCTATCTGGAAGTTTTGGTTCACTCCTAGAAAGGAAGCAAGAGGGGGGAAGACATGAGGAATCAGGCAGGATCTCAGGGGGCTCCTGCACTGCATACATGCCCTAGGAGGATCACTGAGCAGGAAGGGCGTGGGAAGAAGCCCCTGAAGTCTCTGGCACCGGCTCAGGAAGACCCCACACTCCCAAATGCCTGGAGACAGGCTCACCAGCTCCGTCGTCCTCGAAGGCAGAATTTGTAAACGTGCCCACGTTGTTCTCATCCCAGACCTCCGCCCATTTCTCGTCCCAGGACCTGGATCAGAGGGCCAAGTGGTCAGATGAAGGTCTCAGGCCCGGGACCCCAGCAGCACCCCGTGCCCGCCTCCCCCAGGCCCCACCAGCGCTCTCACCCCCTGCGGGAACCCCGCCTCCTCCAGTAGCGCGCGCCCAGCACGCCCAGCGCGACCAGCAGCAGCGCCGCGCCGCCAGCCAGGCCCCCGATCAGCGCCCTCCAGTGGACGGCCACCTCGCAGCGCGGGCCGGAGTACCAGAGCGTGTCCGAGTAGAAGCAGCTGCGGGTGGGAGGAGGAAGGGTCACAGGTCACACACGCGCACCATCACCCGGGCCCCAGGCCAGTTGTGGGGGTTCCCCTCGGTAACTAGTGGGTGGGCCCGCTCCACTCTAGGGAGAGGGGAGGGGGCGAAAGCGAGGGGATGGAGGCGGGGCCGGAGGGCTTCGGAGGCGGGGCTTCTCCCTGTGGGCTGGAGTCAGGGAGGGACTGAGCTGGAGGGAGGGGCGCCCAGGGCGTTGTGTGGGCGGGGGCTTTTGTGTGGGCGGGGCTTCCGCCTGGGGGCGGGAACCGACCGGCACGTGGGACCACTCTTCTCCAGAAGACACTGGCCCTGGTGGCAGTCGATGGCGCCCTCCACGCCTGAAGTGCAATTGCTGACACAGCGGAGCTGCTTTCCCTCAATCAAGGGGAAGTAGAAATTCTCGTAGCCCTGGGCAACGGTGCGGCGGCAGATGGCTGGGGGTTTGGGTAGAGGATTGCAGAATGAGGGACCTTACTCCTTAAACAAGGGCTCCAGTATACATCAATTCATTGCCCTAAAGTTGGTACCAACTCTTATCTGGACCTCTAGCAAGTTTATAGAGGCTGGCAATTACCAGGAACTCTGGTGACCTGCTGGTAAGAAACTGCGCTCAATCCCAAAGACACCCAGTTCTAAACCACCAGCTGCTCCACAGAAGTCAGGGCAATCAACGTTCTGAGTCAGTACAAAGCAAAACAACATATTGTCTGGGAAGAGAATGCCCATCTTTCAAACACGGAGAAGCGGGTGCATTTGACTGTATTATAGTCTTTGAAAAACGGGAGAGGTCTAACCAACCCCTCAGCTTCTCTACACCTTTTCTGCTAGTGCTCAAGGTAGGCCTCACCAGGGATCCAAATGCAGATACCTCTGGCAGGAAGAGGCATCCCTTCTGGAGTCACTGAGTGCTTTGCCACACACTCACCTTCCGCGGATAGCTCTGTCCTGGTGGTGGTGTTCACCTTGACTGAATCAGGCTTAAAACATAGCGCTGGGAACCCAAGAACAGGAGCAGTTGGCATAGGGGAGAAACAAAGGTGAATCTAGGGATGCAGGGCAAGCTAAGAGGTGGGGCACACAGCTCACTTTGTGGAGAAGGGGAACCACAGGGTCTGCTCCCCTTGTTCCTTCTCTCAGCTTCTAGTAATAATCAAGGGCACCACTAGCCATCGTGGGAATGGGAAATATCATAATCACAGAGTTTCACGGGGAGCTCTGGTGGCCTAATGATAAAGAAGCTGCACCGCAATCCCAAGAGTATGCAGTTCAAATCCACCAGATGCCCTGCTGGAGAAGGAGAGGCAAGCTCCGCTTGTACCAGTCAGATCTGATTTGACAGTACACATAAAAAAATAATAAATGTTTTAAAAAAAAAATAATCACAGAGTTTCCTCCCCAGTCCCTTCCTGGCTCAGTTGAGTAGGGACCTGTACTCCTCTCCACCTGTCTGAGGTACCACATGCTGCCACTGGACCCTAGACTGCCCCTCTCCTAAATGGGAATAGGCTAGATAATGGCAGCAAGACAGGGCACACCTCCAGCCCCAAGCCCACCCTCTTACTCAGGCTACTATTGCAGCTGTTCTCCTCCTGGCTGACATTTCGGAGCTCATCCTCCAATGTCTCCATCACCTTCTCATACTCCGTCTGCAGCTCAGGGCTGAAGGGCAACTCCAGCAGGACCACATAGTCCACCACGATGCTGCCATTTCTGAAGGTGTTGGTAGGGAAATTTTAGGGAGTGCACATGCATGTGGAAGATAGGTACTTGGAATAACACTACTGGGACCAGTCACAATTGCACGGAGTGAGGGGGACATGCAGTGGGACAGAGCAGGAATGCCATTTCATCCTTTTCAGAGGGGTTGTCCACACCCTAGACTGACCGCCTGGAAAGGCCAAGGAAGAATGATTTACATTTTCTGCATTGCATCAAACCATCACCAAAACAGACTCTCTGTTTCTCTGCCTCTCTGATTCCTTGCCTTTCTCTAACTGCTTCATTTAGCAGACCAGATGCCAGCCAGAAAGGAGGAAATTCAAAAGTCTGAGCACTAGGGATCTTAGTAGTCCTCATGAATGTCCGTCCCCATGCAATTTTCCTCCTTCCAACATGCTTGAAGAATGGGAGTAGAAACCACCCCTATTCACCCCTCTTTTGAAATCACCCTAGGAAATGCCCACAACATTCTCTGGAGTGATTTCCTAGAACTCTCTCCATCCCTCTCTTTATAAAATCTGATGACTCAAAAGCAGGAGATGAATTCTCCAGGCTTTCTTTGAACCCATTCTCCCCCTCTCACTCCATCACATCCCCACTACATCCAAAGAGGATCTCTTACCTTAGACCTAAGATCTCCACCTTCTGGAACCCTGGCACATTTTTATAAACTTCCTTCATCTGAAATATGAAGAACACCAGAGTTCACATCTGAACCACCAGACCTGAGAGCATCCAGGGGCCAAATTCAGCTTCGGGGAGAACCAAGACCTCAAATTCTTCACCGACTCCCACCTCACCCGATTCTGGAAGGATGTAGTGAATTCCATGTAGGCTTCGGAAGTGTTGTCATTGAGTTCAGGAGTGAATTCTTTGTCCACGGATACCTCCATGCCCACTTCAGCATCCACAGTATCTGCACACATAATGCCCTGCCCTGGTCACTTCACAATCTGTATTTGTATGACTTTAGCTCCACACAGAGGCTCCTCCCACTTCCTTCTCTATGTGCCCTGAGGATTAACTGAACAGTAGAAGAGAAATAGGAATTTCAACTGCTTTGTCCTGAGATGAGGAAGACAAGGAAATTAAAGAAGTCACTCTGATCGGCATCATGATGTCCTTGCCCTAATGCCCAAATTGAAAGCATGATATATTACATACCAGTGGGAGGTGAAAAGTTGCAGATGGAATTAAGCTTGCTAGTCAGCTAATCTTTTTATAAAAAAAGTTATCATGGATTATTTACAGCTAGCCAATGTCATTGGAAAGGTCTTCAGAATGAAAGACAGGTAATGTTAGTGTCCATCAAAGGAAGACACAACAGGGGAAAAAGGCACAGAGAGAGATGCAACATAGCTTTGAACATTGAGAAAGAGTTCCTTGGCGGGGGTGGGGGAGCGGGGGACAAACTACAGGCAATCTCTAAAAGTTACAAGGGAAAGAAAATGGATTCTCTAACCCATGGTCTTGAACTCAATTCAAGCTCACTGTGATCATGTGTTACAGACTGTTGTCATTATGTGCCATCAAGATGCCTGTGACTCAGTGACATTATGTACAACAGCCCTAAACCCTGCTCTATCCTGTGCCAATCTTATTGTCTCTAATACTGCTACCACCATTACCCCAGTCACTGAATCAGTCCATCTCATCGAGGGTCTTCCTCTCTTGCGCTGTCCCTCCACCCTCCCAAGCATGACATCCCTCTCCAAGGACTGCTTCCACCTTGCAACATGCCCAGAGTATGTCAGATGAAACTTCAGAATCCTTGCCTCCAAGAAGCAGCCTGTCTTCACCCTCTCCAGGATGAACTTGTTTGTTCTCCTAGCAGTCCATGGTACATTCAGTACTCCTCTCCAGCATCATACCTCAAAGGCATCAATTCTCCTTCTATCATCCCTAATAGTGGTCCAGCTTTCTGATGAATAGCAAGTAATTGCAAAGACCATGCCCTGAATCAGGCACACTTTAGTCTCCAGACTGACATCGTTGTTCTTCAGTACTTTGGAGAGGTCTCTGACAGAAGACTTTCCCAATGCAATTCATGTTTTACTTTCCTGGTTGCTGGTACCAAGAGTGTTGATTGTAGAGCAGAGCAAACTGAAGCAGTTAAGAATCTCAATTTCTTTTTCCTCTTCCAGAGACGCTGTGTAGAGTCATTCAAAATGGTCCAGCATCTGACCTACTATTGTAGGCTCTCCTACAACGCAGCCTCTGACAAAATTAGGCTGTCCTGAACCCCTGGGAACAGAATTGTTTACCTTTATACCAAGAAGGTTGGAAAAGCACCAAAATCTGCATGTGGTTTTTGCCCAGGCCGACTAAGAGGGGTTCGTGCTGTGAGACCTAAAGTTCTCATGTTTTTGTTGTTGTTGTTGTT